GTTTATTTACAATAGGGCTTTTCACACTGTGCTTAACCTCGGGTTATCGTCGTTCTAAACACCGCTTTTAACCCCGGGTAAAGACACGTTTCACACCTGTAATTTGAAAGCGGTGTTAGCACGGGTTTTTACCCGGGGTTATGAAAGCCTGCTCCGGAGCAGGTTAGCACTGCATTCGTGATGTTAACCTCGCAGTGCGGTGCTAAGTTTGTTCAGTGTGAAGCGGAGCGGGGTGTGCTTGCTGCTGCTGGACGCTTGGCAACAGACAGCCAATCAGAACTCGAGCAGCGAGGCTCATGTCACGTCAGGAACAGGACACGCGCGTCGTGCAAACAGCAGCCGCTGAGAGAAAAGTAAGACATGTCAAAAAAGCGTGTGAACTGGAGTGAGGAGGAGGTTTGTCTTTGTTCTCTTGCCTTTGTGCGTCTAATGAGGCTTAAAACAGCTAAAGACCTACGCGGCGAAATGTTTTTTAATAACTGGCAAGACGCGGGAAAAGCCATGTAAACTGGTTGCCTGCTGTTCGTCCAATCAGTGACAGTGACACCGCAAATATGCAAATAAGAACGTTAACCCGGGGGTTAGGAACATAGACATAAAGATACCTAGACGCCTCATTGGCTGCTTTGAGCCGTTGCTGCGATACGTCAACGCGTCCGCCATGTTTGTGAAGGCAAGACTGCCTTAAAAATAAATGGAGGTAAATGGAGAGCTGCGTTTTTTTCTGGATAAAAACAAGATAACATTTACATTTATCAACCGATTTCAGAGGTTTGTGATCTGTTTTCGGTTTACAATTCTAATGTTAATGTAGTATAACTGTGACATATACATGTTTTGTAATTTGAATGTACATTAAATGAAATTAAGTTGTTTCATTGCTTTCTCTGTCTTCAACCCCAACATTTGAGCTTTTCTTGTGCTTCAGGTCAGAACCCAGCTCATTCCCTTTGAAATACTGGAAGAAAATCTAAATAATACATCTTTAAGCGCTAATAATTTACCATCATTGAGAAAATTGAATAAAGCCAGCGAATACAAATCAAAAAGTGACACTCTTGGTAGTCTGCTTTTTATTTTGATAGCACTCTATACAGATAAACTCCACAACAAACAATAACAAATGCAACTGATAATCCTTCATGGATCCAGTAAAACTTAGTTACAGTGGTAAAATAGTATGCACCGATACAGCGCACAGTAAAAGTGATATGTAATATTAAAAAGTATATGTAGTACAAGTTGTAGTAAAGTGAATAATATAAAAAGTGAGTACAACAGTATATAATAGATTTATAATAGCATAAATTATATGTATAATACCATAATAAATAGATGAATAATAGCAAGTAGAATATGTAATATCAAGGGTGGAATAATACAGAATAGACAATAATGAAGAATAAATTAATAGTAAATTATAAAGTAAAATAAATAATCATGAAATGTAGTTTTATAATAGTATTGTGTAATAATTATTAAACAAAGTAAGAAACAAGTAAGGGGGTGGTTAGAATATGAGCAGGGTAATTCTGGCCATTCATTCAGGGCTATTCTGGGTTTTAACTAGTACTAATACAACATTAGGCTGTGGAAGTACAGCCTACTCTCTTGGAAATGCAGAGAACAGGGTTTCTTCGGCTTGCGTTGTCCTGTTTGCAATTGGCTAAAAAGGAAAAATATATATATAATAAGTCCACAGATTTATGATAAGCTATGAAATCCTTATTTACAAAGAGTATGTTTATCATCACTTGATTATAAGTAACGCTAGTGAAATTAAAGAGAGATGATTTAGCTCCATCCCTAATCCTGACAGTCTGGCATTGTCTTGTCAAAGTGCTCACTGTACATATTGTGCCCATAACACCATTTACTTTATGATATAAACTACAATATAAAAGTTAAAACTTAAGAATTCATTTAAACTTTGATTTCATATAAAGTCTCAGCTTTCACAGCTTACTATAGATATCGCTAGCTATTAATAGTCCGATACTGGTGGCTAATTAAGCTGTCAACATAAAGCTAAAAATTACCAAAAAACACAGAAACAACTGTTGAGTCTTACCTGTGAAAGATAATAATACCCCGAGATCTGTTTTTATTATTGTGCGACGGTTTGTAGATGCCCAAGCTGCCGACGAGTCAGCTATGTTTTCGCCTGTCCCGATATGAGAGTTGCCTTCACCAATATGGCGGCGACGTTGACGTGCGGTCGAGCGCCCAATGAGGCGTCTAGGTATTTATTATGTCTATGGTTAGGAATGTACCGTGTGAAAGGTCTGTGAATGAATAGCCAGGATTAGCAGTTAACCCCCGGTATAGTATGAGCAGTGTGAAACGTGATTACACATAACCCAGGATTCTGTTTATCCGGGGTTTAGGATGACCCAGGGTTAACCATTTCAAGTGAGAAAAGCCCTAGAGTTTCATTACTTTTGATAGTAATGTTACTGTAGCTGATAATAATATTTCCTTGCTTGTGTGAGTCAGAGCAGTTTTTACTCAACATCACAAAGAGCCACTATAATGTGAAATATTAAATTAAACAGCCAATGTCAAAGTGACATCAAGCTTTAAACAGTTGACTAAATCAGTTTGATCTTGAGTCAATAATTATTTACAGTTACTGTAGAGAGAGAAATTATTTTCTTCCAGAGTTTAGAAAACACATTCAAACGAGTGATAGATTGTAAAAACAGCAGCGCTATAAACACAGATGTCTTTCCTAACATTAACAGCTCAGTTCTGTGTAAATTAAAGATAAATGTGCATATATTGATCTGTTTGAATATATGTCTGCTTAATGTGATCATGTTTGCTGATTGCTGACAGACATAACTATTCATAACTGCTTTCAATTTAATGTTTGTCTTTCACAAAATATTAAATGTCTAATTTTGGTGCAGCTATACTGTAACTTGTAGAAATTAGGGGAAAAAAGTATGAATTATCAATCAGAGGACAGAAGGCATGAAGTAGACTGTGTAAAACACTGTGTTTTTCAGCAAAGTTTTGGTCATATTGATCATTTGTAGGCCCTAGAAATGTGTGTATTAATTATAATACAGTAGGCTATTTTCATAAGTAGCCATTTATACTAATTGTTCAACATAATTTTCTGATTTCTCTCTATGGTCCTGCCTTATTTTGTAACTTTTGTGTAGTTGGTAATAAGTTTAATTGCCATATATCTGAAGTATGTTCTTTCTCTTTCTGTCTTCAGTCTGTGTGGATGCAGTATTACAGAGAAACAGAGTCTCGTCCTGACTTCAGCTCTGAACTCAAACCCATCACACCTGAGAGAGCTGAATCTGAGAGGGAATAAACTAGGAGACTCTGGAGTGAAGAACCTCAGTGATCTACTGATGAACACACAATGCAAGCTGGAGAAACTAGAGTTAGTATCATTATACTCTACAGCAGCTACAGTCTGATTCATTTACTCATGATGTGTTTAACTCACATATGAACTTACATCTGATTGATTGTGTTTTCTCTCTCTGTCTTCAGTCTGTGTGGATGCAGTATTACAGAGAAACAGAGTCTCGTCCTGACTTCAGCTCTGAACTCAAACCCATCACACCTGAGAGAACTGAACCTGAGAGAGAATAAACTACTAGGAGACTCTGGAGTGAAGAGCCTCAGTGATCTACTGATGAACACACAATGCAAGCTGGAGAAACTAGAGTTAGTATCATTATACTCTACAGCAGCTACAGTCTGATTCATTTACTCATGATGTGTTTAACTCACATATGAACTTACATCTGATTGATTGTGTTTTCTCTCTCTGTCTTCAGTCTTTGTGATTGCAGGTTTACAGAGAAACAGAGTCTCGTCCTGACTTCAGCTCTGAACTCAAACCCATCACACCTGAGAGAACTTAAGCTGAGTGAGAATAAACTACTAGGAGACTCTGGAGTGAAGAGCCTCAGTGATCTACTGATGAACACACAATGCAAGCTGGAGAAACTAGAGTTAGTATCATTATACTCTACAGCAGCTACAGTCTGATTAAAGTTTACTGTTCAGTTTAAGATCGCTGGGCTCATGTTACATCATTTCTAGCGCTGCATCTTCTGTGTTTCTCCAGCTGAAGAAAGATTCAGAAATACTCTTAGTTCATGGGTTTGTGTCTGTAGAAACAGCATGAAACTCACTGAAATCTGACAAATCTTTGCTGTGAAACAAGACAGAAGTGAAAACAGACTAAAACCAGTCTAACAGATGACAGTAGATTATTCTGAGTCATATTTATACTGAACTAATTGTGCTCTTCACTAAATCTTTTATTAAGATAAATGTATATTTAGTATATTTAGAGACTGTAAAATTCACTCTAAAATGGCTTAAAGTAATTGATTTGATTGATTTAATTTTCTTGCATTACAAATGTAAAAGTAGACCATTTAATTGTATTATTTTTCTATTGTGTCTACATTAATCCTCTATATTAATTTACATTGGTTAATTCATTTATTTGTTAAATGAGGACGGATCCAGACGTGGAATTGTAACTAGTGTCCTCAAATGCTCCTCTCTTGGTTTATTTGTTCATATATTATCTGTTTACATTATTTTGCTTGTGTATCAGTGACTGTATGGCATTTACTCATGATGTGTTTAACTCAGATATGAACTTACATCTGATTGATTGTGTTTTCTCTTTCTGTCTTCAGTCTGTGTGGATGCAGTATTACAGAGAAACAGAGTCTCGTCCTGACTTCAGCTCTGAACTCAAACCCATCACACCTGAGAGAACTGAACCTGAGAGAGAATAAACTACTAGGAGACTCTGGAGTGAAGAGCCTCAGTGATCTACTGATGAACACACAATGCAAGCTGGAGAAACTAGAGTTAGTATCATTATACTCTACAGCAGCTACAGTCTGATTCATTTACTCATGATGTGTTTAACTCACATATGAACTTACATCTGATTAATTGTGTTTTCTCTCTCTGTCTTCAGTCTGTGTGGATGCAGTATTACAGAGAAACAGAGTCTCGTCCTGACTTCAGCTCTGAACTCAAACCCATCACACCTGAGAGAACTGAACCTGAGAGAGAATAAACTACTAGGAGACTCTGGAGTGAAGAGCCTCAGTGATCTACTGATGAACACACAATGCAAGCTGGAGAAACTAGAGTTAGTATCATTATACTCTACAGCAGCTACAGTCTGATTCATTTACTCATGATGTGTTTAACTCACATATGAACTTACATCTGATTGATTGTGTTTTCTCTCTCTGTCTTCAGTCTTTGTGATTGCAGGTTTACAGAGAAACAGAGTCTCGTCCTGACTTCAGCTCTGAACTCAAACCCATCACACCTGAGAGAACTGAACCTGAGAGAGAATAAACTACTAGGAGACTCTGGAGTGAAGAGCCTCAGTGATCTACTGATGAACACACAATGCAAGCTGGAGAAACTAGAGTTAGTATCATTATACTCTACAGCAGCTACAGTCTGATTCATTTACTCATGATGTGTTTAACTCACATATGAACTTACATCTGATTGATTGTGTTTTCTCTCTCTGTCTTCAGTCTTTGTGATTGCAGGTTTACAGAGAAACAGAGTCTCGTCCTGACTTCAGCTCTGAACTCAAACCCATCACACCTGAGAGAGCTGAATCTGAGAGGGAATAAACTAGGAGACTCTGGAGTCAAGAACCTCAGTGATCTACTGATGAACACACAATGCAAGCTGGAGAAACTAGAGTTAGTATCATTATACTCTACAGCAGCTACAGTCTGATTCATTTACTCATGATGTGTTTAACTCACATATGAACTTACATCTGATTGATTGTGTTTTCTCTTTCTGTCTTCAGTCTGTGTGGATGCAGTATTACAGAGAAACAGAGTCTCGTCCTGACTTCAGCTCTGAACTCAAACCCATCACACCTGAGAGAACTGAACCTGAGAGAGAATAAACTACTAGGAGACTCTGGAGTGAAGAGCCTCAGTGATCTACTGATGAACACACAATGCAAGCTGGAGAAACTAGAGTTAGTATCATTATACTCTACAGCAGCTACAGTCTGATTCATTTACTCATGATGTGTTTAACTCACATATGAACTTACATCTGATTGATTGTGTTTTCTCTCTCTGTCTTCAGTCTTTGTGATTGCAGGTTTACAGAGAAACAGAGTCTCGTCCTGACTTCAGCTCTGAACTCAAACCCATCACACCTGAGAGAACTGAACCTGAGAGAGAATAAACTACTAGGAGACTCTGGAGTGAAGAGCCTCAGTGATCTACTGATGAACACACAATGCAAGCTGGAGAAACTAGAGTTAGTATCATTATACTCTACAGCAGCTACAGTCTGATTAAAGTTTACTGTTCAGTTTAAGATCGCTGGGCTCATGTTACATCATTTCTAGCGCTGCATCTTCTGTGTTTCTCCAGCTGAAGAAAGATTCAGAAATACTCTTAGTTCATGGGTTTGTGTCTGTAGAAACAGCATGAAACTCACTGAAATCTGACAAATCTTTGCTGTGAAACAAGACAGAAGTGAAAACAGACTAAAACCAGTCTAACAGATGACAGTAGATTATTCTGAGTCATATTTATACTGAACTAATTGTGCTCTTCACTAAATCTTTTATTAAGATAAATGTATATTTAGTATATTTAGAGACTGTAAAATTCACTCTAAAATGGCTTAAAGTAATTGATTTGATTGATTTAATTTTCTTGCATTACAAATGTAAAAGTAGACCATTTAATTGTATTATTTTTCTATTGTGTCTACATTAATCCTCTATATTAATTTACATTGGTTAATTCATTTATTTGTTAAATGAGGACGGATCCAGACGTGGAATTGTAACTAGTGTCCTCAAATGCTCCTCTCTTGGTTTATTTGTTCATATATTATCTGTTTACATTATTTTGCTTGTGTATCAGTGACTGTATGGCATTTACTCATGATGTGTTTAACTCAGATATGAACTTACATCTGATTGATTGTGTTTTCTCT